AGCACGCAAAACAAGCAAAATTAGCATAAGATAAGAATTTGGCCATAGAGGCGTCGTGTGGTTATCAGTCTTAAGGCATTCCACGCCTGCGCAGAGAGAGAATCATAGAACAATGCATCTTTATACTACAATAGCTTGATTATGCTAAACACCAGTGATGTATCCCTTAATAGCCACAAGATATAACTTTAGACTACAAAATCCCCACAGATGACTAGAGAGCCTACTCTCTTTATGTGGGCAGATGTCACTGTAGAAGGGAAGACAAAACTTTCCTGCCAAAACACACATCAAGACATGACCTCAAGTCCAAGTGGTAATGTCTGACAAACGTATCTGGATGGCTGTGTGTTTCTGTCATGTAGATGTCAGGAATGCTGTGGATGTGGTTGTAGCTCGAACTGAATGTCCTCTGACAGTCTTCTTAGGGAGATGAGAGTCATTTGGTATCAGAGCTTCATAGTGTCTACCACCCGTCAGGCAAAGCACTGAGAAGAGCTGGGCATATCTTTCTTTCTCAAGGTGTGACAAAGAATCTGAGTAACTGGCCAAAGGACTGAGTTCTATGGAGGTAGAAGGCGAGTGCTCTACAAGCATCTAGTATATGTAAGGAGTAAGTGTAATTAGATTGCTATAGAGTGCAGAGAGGGAAATGCTCTGTGCCACTGGAAGTTGGAGACTACTTTAGGGAGGAATGAGAACTGCTGGATAGCTCAGTGGTGTAGGTATCTGGCTGCAGAACCAGAGGTTGGGAGTTCGATTCTCCACTGTGCCTCCTTAACAGAGGTTGGACGATGATCCATAAGGTCCCTTTCTGCTCTACAGTTCTAAGATGATCACAATGATGACTATGAGATACCTAGGGAGAGGATCACCTTATCCTTGGAAGATGAGATGAAGTGGGTCAACCTGAAGAGCACCAAGCAAACTTGTTCTGCCTGAAGTAAGGTGGACCAGAAATGCGACCTTCATGGCAAGAAGTCTGACATCTATTGTGGCTAGAATCTGAAAAAGAGCCTTAATGAACTGGTGGAGAACTAGAGACAGGTTCCACCCCAGTGGAACTGGATGTGCTAGTGGGAACATGTTGTTAAGACCCTTTAGGAAGGAAGCAGCAGGCATCTGGATGGGAGAACTGGAATACCTATCCAATGGAGGGGCAAAGACAAGATAGCAGTGAGGTACACTTCATAGAAGAAATGGTAAAGCCATTTGTCTTGAGGGAGAAAATGATGGACATGTAAGGCCCAAGCAATGTTCCCCTAAGCTGCATGGGAGTGCAGCGCTGCATCGGGCACACACAGCTGAGCCAGTGTTACTGCCTATTTGTTTCTGGTTGTGGCTGGAACCCAGCACAATGGTCCAGAAAATTAGAGGGAATGTTGGGACCAAAGTGTCCTTTGAGTGACCCAGAAAATGTTGGAATGTAGTCCACTTATACATGTCAGACTTCCATTTGTGCTTCCCCACTTGGTGAAGATGTGGCACACCATAAGGGGATAGAGATGCCATTTGTGTATGTCCTTTGACTTCCTGCTGAGGTCTGCTTGGGAGTGCTCTGTTTCAGGTATATGTATTGCAGTGGTGTGGATCATGTTGAGGAGGCACCACAATAATGAGGGGTCTGAGCCCCCATCAAAATGCTCCAACTGAACACTAGAAAGTTCTGAATTCTGCAAATGGACAGAATAGTCCATCAGTGTATTCTCAAAGAGAACATGAAGAAGAAAACCACAATACAGGCTAGGAATTCCTAACCTAACTTGTTTATTTATCTCATGCTATATTGCATTTGGTACTCTTGATCTCTTTCCTGTATGTATAAATTTCTCAGTTGTGGCAGGTCATGCTAGAAACAGAACTACTGTTCTATATCGTAAGAAGTGTTAGCTGGCAGTCAGGTCGTGTACAGTGCTGCTTTCTCTGCCCTCCACACATTGGTTGAACATCATTTTGTAAAAAAGGGCCTTGCTTCAAAAACCCTAGCCACAATTGCTGTTCCAAAGGTATTCATGATAAATTTGTCTGCAGGAGGAAAATGTAGACCACTTAAGCCATTGTGAACAATATGCACAGTACTGTGCAAATAAAATTGCTTTAGTCCAGTTGTAAGATCTATCACACCCAGTAACTACCAGCCAGTCTCCAATATTCCATGTTGGGCAAAGTGCTTGAGCTTGAGGTAGCCTCTTGGCTCCAGAGCTTCCTGGATAAAATGATTATCTAGATCCACTTCAGTCTGGTTCCAGGCCTGGGTATGTGACAGAAACAGCTTTGTTTGCCTTGGTAGATGATGTATGCCAGGAACTGGATAGGGAATGCGTGTCCCTTTTAGTTCTGCTGAACGTCTCAACTATTTTTTATATAATTGATCATGATATCATTTTGTATTGCCATCTTGGATGAGACTGTTTTACAGTGGCTCAAATCCTTCTTGGAACTCCAGTCTTAGATGGTTGATGGACTCCTGCTTGATGACGGCATGACTTTGTGCCATACTAAAGATATGATGGAAATGCTGAAGAACATTTCCATTTGGCACTGGATTACGGTATGGGCTTTACGAACACTAGTAAGTGCTAGACTTTGTGAATGTATAGTAATCACATCTAAAATTCTCCCCTTACGAATGCTACTTCCAGCCATCACAGAGAGTGATGTTTCAAAACCACAATATCATTTTATCTTATTTATTAATTTTTCTGTTAACAATTGTGTAAATTCTTAAGGTGCTTCTATAGAATTCAGTGGACTTTGCATGGGGAAACTTTGCTGTGGATTGTCAAGCTCTTTAACTTAGTAGATAATAACTGAGTACTGTATATGTTTCTGCTCATATTTACCCCTTTTGCCAGGATGCCTTCTTACCAGAACCTAGGCATTTTTGCTAATAGTCCAATACATTTTGCTGCTTGAATCAAATGGTGTTCCTCTACAGATGGGCAAACATTTAAAAAGACTTGTTGCCCCGCATTCAAACTCCAAATCCTCACTTAATCCAACACCACTGAGTTGCCAGGAGCAGGTTTAGAGTTTAGATGCTCTTATTTTTTGAACTAAAGTTCCCTGAATCCTTTAGACATCATGGCCACTGGCCCCACAAGCAGGAAGAGTCTAAGATTTGTACTCCAAAAAGGAAATTTCTCATGTTCTTCTAAGCAGGTGAAATCACCCTGTTTCAAAAATACAGTCATTTTTAGAAATGCAGTATCCTAGCTTATGTTATGATATAAGATCAATTCCAGTAGCCTTTATCTAATTTCCAACCTTTCACTAATTTCTTGTCTATTCGTAGAGTGGAAGTCATAAATTCAAACAAAGATATAACTGCCCTGTGTTGCTTCCTTTCCCAGACCGATATAATCTGATGTGGGTCCTGATGCTGCAATTGTTGCTGGGCAAAATGAACTGCACATCATAATGATGTCAGAAATAAGATAAATCACTGAATATAGTATAGGAGAAATGGAGAATTTGAGATGGTAAACTGGATGGCTTTACAACATTAAGTTCCACCCATGGAACTCCAGTTCCAACATTTTTAAAGAGTAATCAATTTTTTTCAAGACACTATTTTTAGACACTTTGATCTTGTAGAATGTTATCAGCTTTCATAGACATATGAAAGTATTTTATAAACAATACACATTTGAATTTTTTGCTGTTTGAAGAAATCAATGTTGCACCTTCTGCAACACAAATACTAAACAATTTAGTTTAAAATTCTTTCAGAAATGTTTATGAAATTCTTTATTTTTAAATTTAGAGGCAACATGAAAAAAAAATCTACAGAATTCTCCTCCAACCAGCTGTTTAGGCTGCAATTTTAATATAATTATACATGGTATGATCTGACTGCTTTTATTGGGAGAATAGTTTTCATGAAAGTTTACTTGACACTTGAACTATACTCAAGTGGTTTTCAAATAAAAACAAGCATCTCCGTTATCTATGATGCAAAGGAAATAATCACTTTAAGAGCTTTTCCTACAATTTACCAGAAAAACAGAAGTAAACACTAGAAAGTCTAAGGCTGTGTTTCTCATGAATGTGAGTCGCATTCTGAATTTCATCTGCTCACTGATGCACCCCATACAATAATCTGCTCTGCATATGAGAATATTCTTATATGTGCTTGTTTGTAACTTACTGCCATATGTATGGTTCTGTAGACTGAGATACTAGCCCAACATGGTCATTCCTAGATGACTAAAACAGGATTTTCTCCCCTTTCTCTTTTGGCTGAAGTCATACAAAAAGAAGTCATACCTACAATAAAGCAGCATATCTCCCAGAACTTCTTTCTTCTTCTCAGTTCAGGTTAGGATGATGGTCTGACTTGCAAATCTATGACGGATCAATGTCAGTTGCCTGCCAAGGACAATATGTCCACTTTGGGCCTAGCTGGGAGAATGTTCTAATGGCTTCAGAATGTTAATCTACCTTGGAACACCACACCCTCTTATTAATTTTCCAGCATCCCTAAGAGAGGCCCACCCTACAGTTTGAGAACTCCATGACTGTTATTTTCCCTCTACTACAGATTCACATTTTGCATTTGTCTTGTCTGGATCGTTCCCTAAACTGCAGTCTTTTCACTTGCCAACAGATGGATATGACATGAGCTTTCATTTCAAAAGAACTTTAAAGCAAAAATCTCTGGGAATATACCAACTAGTTCATGCTAAATGGAAAAACTAGAAGAGCTAACAATAGTGAAGGAGCTGCATTTCTCTCAGCACAGGGTATACTCTCCTCATGAGAGCCCGGCACTATCCCCTTGGTCTTGCCAGTTATTCAGCTCTCATCCACTGAGACCCAATGTTGCTTTTGTCTCCCAACTTGTGAGAAGAAAACTGGGACTGATGATAGAAAATCAAACCAAACACTCTCCCTTGATCTTCAAAACCTTCAAACGAAGCGCCTGAAATAAGAATTTTTGGCTCCTATATTTGGCTCCTGATCTTTCAAAAGCAACGCTAATGAAATCAGACACCTACCCAGCAGGCTGATGCCTAATCGAGAGAGTCCTTGTCGCAGCCCTTCTCCCAAATTCTCAGGAAGCTGCCTTCTCCATTCTTCTTGCCTGTTATAATGTTCCTCATCCAGAGATAGCCTATCCATGTTGCGAGCAAGACTTGTTGCCAAGTTAGTAATTGATGTCAGAGTACCTAAAGACCAATAGGTTAGACATTCAAATCACTGTGTTACTTATAATGTATGTGATAAAACTGCTTTGTTGATAAACAAAATGACACAGAACTTTAGCTGGACAAGCAAGGTTCCTGAAATCTAAAATACCTCTTACTTTGAGAATAATTTTATTAGCATCCAGTGCAGTTTTACACATACTTTCAGCCATATTTCTTATATGGCCATCTTTCACTAGAGCCACCAAACCTGCTAATGTTAACTGCACAAATCTAAGGTCAGACATATATATCATTGTAGTAAGGCAAGGAAAATGCAGATTAAGAAAATGTGCCCGTATCAGAATATCTTGGATTGCAATCCTACTCCGAATATTCTATTTTTTGCAACTAGGCTTTGAAGCCACCAGATGGCACTATGTTTGTTTCCAAGTCTAGGAAAATCCAGATGTTGGCTTGCTTTAAAAACATGTTCACTAGTACATAACACTGATGCCTATGCTTTTTTAAGATTACTTAGTATGATGAGGCAATGTAGTGTAGGGTTTCTGAGGTACAGACGAAGTACTGAACTCCTTTAACATCTCCGTTCAGTTATTGAATGACAAAGTGGCCATGCGGGAAAGCTTAAACTGCTTGTGTTTCTAGGATGCTGTTGTTAAAGAAACGATCTGTTTTTAAAACACAGGGAGAGGCGTAGGTGAATTTTGTGGCTCACACAGCATTTCACTGATTCTGAACCAGCTTTAGAAAAAAGCAGAGGAAAGCAAATCTATCGGAAAGATTAAGTGCCTTCATTTAAGATTCCGTGGATGACTAGGTATATTTACCTTTGGAAATGTGCTTTACAAATGATGTTGTTCCTCTGGAGACTCCACTAACAAATGCTCCAGGACCACGTGTTAGCCCTTCATATGGAAGCCTGAAGAAGTCGGCTATGCCATTGCCTATGCTTCTTACCAAGCTGGCTGGGCTGCCAAGGATTTCCAGAGATCCGACGACCCATCCTACATGAGGAGACATGGGAGGAGGGAAGTTGATGCCCGTTAAAATCACAGAAACAGCAGTAGTTTTTTAAAAGGGGGGGGACATCCCTTTCTGCTTCCCCCATGCCATTTTTACACTAGAATTTATCACTTACTCCTTTGAGAAAAACATAGGAAATAGCTCATCCACTACAAATTCAGCAATGGCAATTTTTCATGCTTTCTAAATCAAAGAAATCCCTTTGGCAAACATACAAATAGCTTTAAAATGACTTCCTTCCATGAACCTCCCATATTTCTGCTAAAATTGCATGTGGAGTGATGGAAGCTGCACTCAAATGGTTCCAAGTAAGAAGAGGCAGGGGCTTATTTTGCTTAGGAGGTTTTACATCTTGCAAAGCAACTTTGTTATTTCACATTCTCACAGCGAAAGAATCATGACAGCTAGTTTACAGTGATACAGTGTACAGCCTTGGGGGAGTGTGAAGGTCAACTGCTTGATAGGGTGTTGGGAAAGGGGATGCAGATTTTTGACAAGTGCATAAGGAATTATTTTAATCCAACCGACAGCTCACTGCTGATCACTTTCTTGTAGAGTCTAGTTATAGCCAGATAAATGGCTTTTTGCTCAGCACAGTTGTCTAATGGTATTTGCATGCTGATTAAATTACTTAGGGGAGGATTCCTTATGGATCCTTCACCAGGGGATGAGGCTGGAGGCTTCCTAACATGTAGTTCTCTAAATAAAATGGCAATTACTGCTAGGCTACTTACTTTCTGAACATAATGACTTGTGTGGCAATGCTGGTTTGACAGTCAACACAAAACTACTGAAAAAGAGTATAAGGTCTCAATTTCCTCTTCTCAAAAGCCAGTATAATGACAGTGTGACAGCTATCTAAAAAGAGCCTAGTAGAGGACTGGTTCTATTTCAGATACCAGAACTGTCTGCTTTGGGGCACATAACCTCTGACATCAGTAATTTTTACTTAATATCATGCTTGTATTCCTTCCTCTGGTAGCAAATCATAATATGAAATTAATTTACATCTATCAATATGAGATAAACAAGATTATATGGAAAGTCCAGGAGTACACTATTTCCTTAACAATAAAATAAAAACCTTACATTCATCAGATCAGTATATAGTTGTAATTTTCAATAAAGAGAGCTAATCCTCTGAACAAAACAGCACAAGCAATATGCTAAAACCCATGTGGTACCTTAAAAGATCAACAAATATAGTAAAACAAAAGCCACAGCTGGCTCTCTCATAAATCATTCTTTGATTCTGCAACTAAGCTTCTCGAAACTAAGGTTCTCAGATTCTCAAGCCCCTGATATGTGTGTCTTCCTCAGAACACCATATTGAGGGTGCAATTGCACAGCACAAAAATTGTGAAGTAATCTATTGTGAATTCAAACCCGGCAAACTGAGTTTCCTCATGTGAAATTGCTTTAGTGAATCACACAGGAGTCAACAGAGAGAGACAGACAGAGAGGAGGAAATACCCAATTTACACTTGATAGCTCTACTGCAACCATTCACATATTCAGGAGGCATGGCTAAGTAGAGCTGCCTTAACAAGCAGCAAACTAGGGCTGGCTGCCAATTTCCCCCCCTCTTTGCCAATTTCCTTCTCTGTCTCTCTCTTTCTGTCTCTTTTTCTCTGTCTTTGACTCTCTTTTTTGCCTCCTAATTGCTCTAATACTCCATTACCGTCACCAAAACTTTGGCAAACATGATCTGGAGACAAGGGGTGCTTAGCTGAGGGGAACTAACAGCCCCTTGAGTGTCTATTTACTTCTCTCCTCGCCTTGAACTAGGAACCTACATTGGTTCTGGTGATCACACCACCCAAACTAATGTGAATACATTTGATTTTTTAAAAAGTAAGCGCTCCAGTGGTGGAGGAAGAAAGTATGGATTAGGGGGAGGGGAAACTCTGGACTGATTTGCATTGACTTGTATCGGTATGTTGTACAGTCAATGGAAAATAATGAGAATCTGACTATCCCAATTCCAGAGCATTTCCAAATTATTTGTTAATGTACTTGTCCCCTAAATAAAATTACAATTGCTTAGTGTCATTTATAAAAAAAAATACAGTATTATTGTATGATCATCTTAGAGAAGAACTGCAGTTACTGTCTCCACTGCCTCTACTGCTACCCCCCTTTCACAATAGTTTCTTGCAGGGTTGGCTGGCTGTAGACCCAACCCCGACTCCTGTTCTTCTTCATTCTGGGTCCATGTGGCACAACTTGGCTTCTGCTCAGGAAGCAGTCTGTTCAGAACCTTGCTAAGAAATTATGGAGATAGTTTTCATCAGAAAAATGAATAAAAGTTGTAAATCTCAATTTTTGTGGTTTGGAGAGCATGACTGAAGTTGTCATCCTCATATGTTCAGTTTTTAAGTATAAACGTGCATAACACATTCTAGAAGCTTTATAACACATAATTAGCTGTGACCCTCCAAGGCATCTGTCCATATAAGGAGATATGGGTCCTTGGGATACACAGGAAGGTTGGCTGGCCATTTTCCAGCAACGTACACATGGAGTGATGTAGACAGAGAGGTTCCCTATCTGTAACCATGGTTCTTCTAGTGGTCTTCTGTGAATGCTCACTATTGGGTTGTTCTGCACCTGCACAGGACATCTCGGAAGTTTCTAGAGCTTAAAGACATGTAATTAGTAGGACGTTCCCCGTGGAGCGCATGCTCCACCCTCCAAAGGTCCCCTCAGTTCTTGTAAGAGTCTGCCGCTGTCAAAGGCCTATATCAAGGACAACGTGATGGACAGAGGGGAGGATGGGTGGGATGTGTGGATTCACAAAGGACCCCTAGAAGAACCATGGTTACAGGTAGGTAACCTCTCTTTCTTCTTTGTGGCTTCTGTGAATGCACATAATTGGGGGACTGACAAGCTCACTTACTGGATGGTGAGATGTCATGGCAGAAAGGATGTCAAGATCACTCTGCCAAAAGCAGCATCATTCTTTGCCTGGATATCGAGATGGTCTCACAAAGGTCAATGGGTTAGACCATGTAGCTGCATGGCAGATGTGAGGAAATTCTATTCCACTCTGGAAGGCAGTAGAAGTTGACAGTACTCTGGTGGAATGAGCTCTTAAATGTTCAGGAGGTGTTTTGGCCGTGAGCTGATATGCCAATGAGATAGTTTGAGGTGAAGCAGGGGCACCCTTATGAGGGCCATGAAAACATAAGAGCCTTGGAGACTTTCTGAATGATTTAGTTCTATCGAAGTAGAAGGCCAAAGAGCATCTTATGTCAAGCATGTGGAGCATGCACCCAAGAGGTGTAGAAGGAAATGGAAATGAAGTTGGTAGAATCAATGGTTGACTGAGATGGAATTCAGAAACAATTTTTGGTAAAATGAATACATCACAATAGAGGGTCACCTTATCATGGTGGAACTGAAGGAAAGGTAGATCTGATTTGAGGGCTGTGAGCTCACTAGTACGTTTAGCAGATGTTATTGCTACAAGGAATGATGTTGTTAAGGAAAGTAATTTGAAATTAGTAGTAGTCATTGGTTTGAAAGGTGTCGGGTACGTGCATTGAGGACAGGCTGCAAAGACCATTGAGGGAGCAGATATTGACATGAGGGATGAATATTATGGAGTCCAATGGTTGTTGTGGGTTTTTCGGGCTCTTTGGCTGTCCTCTGAAGATGCCGGCCACAGAGACTGGCGAAACATTAGGAAGAACAACCTTCAAAACACGGCCAAAGAGCCCGAACAACCCACAACAACCATTAGATCCCAGCTGTGAAAGCCTTTGTGAATACATTATGGAGTCCCTTCAAGAATTTATTCAATGTTGGGTGAAAGAAAAACCTAGCCGAATCAGACTGAGAAGTCTGATGGGCTATAATAGCAGAAATATACACCTTGAGGGTAGAATGAGATAGTGCAAGATTATATAGATGAAGGATAAAGGTAAGTAAAGTCTTCAGAGAAACCAGTGTTGTAGGTAAGTTCTGAGAATTAGCGAAAGAAAGGAATGTTTTCCCTTTGCTTTGGTATAATCGTTGGGTCGATGGCTTTCAGGCTCAATCTAGAACGTTCTTTATATCGGGAATATCCTCCGTGCTGTCAGGTTCAGAGAGTCTATGTCGGTGTGGTAAATCATCCCATTGTCCTGGGTCAGAAGGTTGGTGATTGACAGAAGATGGAGCACATCGGACGATATCAACCTCAGATAAGTGAACCATGGTTGACATGGCCAACATGGAGCAAGGAGGATGGCATTCGAGTGGAACTGTCGAAGTAGAGTGGTTGTATGAGTGGAATCAGAGGAAATAAGTAGAGTAGGTCTCCGACCCAGTCTATCATAAAGGCATCTCTGAGTGAGTTCCTGTTGATACTGGCTTGGGAACAATACTGTTGACACTTGGTGTTGGTCTCGGAAGCAAAGAGATTGATGGACAGGACACCCCATCGATGACAGAGAAGGTCAAAACTCTGTCGTTCAATACCAATTTGTGTGTCTTTGTGGTAAGACGACTGAGATGGTCTGCAAGAAGGTTGTCCTCTGCGGCAACGTGGACTGCTACTGGGAAAATGAGATGTAGGTAGCACCATTCCCAGAGTTTGACTGCCAGATACATGAGCAAAAGGGAGTGGGTACCTCCTTGCTTGTTTATATAGTATAGTGCTGTGGTATTGTCTGTGATTAGGTGTACTGCTCGCCCTGCAATGAGAAGTAAGGCATGAAATGCCTTAATAATTGCTAAGAGTTCAAGATGGTTGATTGTTCTTGTTTTGCTTTGCTTTTGTCCATAGACCATGTATCCTGTGGTGCCAACAATGAATAGACCATGTATCCTGTGGTGTCAACAGTGAGCTCCCCATCCTAACAGACTGGCATCGGTGGTGACCTGTATCAAAAGTTGTAGAGGCTGAAAGATTTTGCCTACAAGCGAGGAATAAACATCCACCATGTGAGTTGACTGGCAAGTTCTGATGTTACTGTGAGACATTTGGATGGGTAGTTCGATGTCAGGAGGAAAGGGGGTGTCCCTTGTAGGTGGTGGTGTCCTGGAGAGATGTATAATGTTGCAAGTGTCTGTAAGAGTGCTTTACTCATTTAGGTTGTAGTAGAGAATCCGGTACTGGGAGAGTGAGTTTGAGAGCTGATTTCGTAGGGATCGATGTATGGTGAGTGGATGCTGGATACATTGTGGATGAATGATGTTGGTGTTGTGGTGGTGAAGGTGATATGGAAGGCGTGTATCAGGGTGGAGAGGCATATTTGTCGTGGTGGTGAAGGTGATATGGAAGGCATGTATCAGGGTGGAGAGGCATATCTCACTCTTCTTGGTTCGTCATAATTGATATGCTCAGTCCAGTCTTCATGATAGTAGGGGTCGTAGTGATGGTACTGATCCCCATAGTCATCTCGAGTTGGATAGCAAGAAGGTTCATGATAATAGTAAATTTCCCTGCGTGGACAGGCATATTGGACTGGAAAAAGGTGTCCTCTCTTCACCCGGTGCTTGCAGGGAAACTGGTGAGAACCAGAGACCTGAATAGGTATTGCTTGCTCTGTTGATCTAGGGCTTGAATGGGCCAGAACCAGAGACCTGAATAGGTATTGCTCGCTCTGTTGATCTAGGGCTTGAATGGGCCGAGGCCATACTAGAATGAACATCAGCCAGAAATAGGCCAGTACTTGGCGAAAGGCTGGTGATGGAAGCCCCCTAGCCTGAGCCAGTGTTAAAGTTGGGTTGTCTCTATCTGAAATCAAGCCAGGGTCTAGATGACTCCTCAAGGATCAGTGCTGGAGGCCCCGGTTGACATCAAGGATCAGTGATGGAGGCCCCGGTTGACGTGGATCTATTTAATTCGATTCGGTTTGGTCTTATCCTTCTTTTTCCTAGACGAGCCATCAGGACGAATTGGAGCTTTCGACATGGACATCAAGCTCGATTTCAAAGCGGACTTCGAAAGGTATTTTTGATGAGGTGATGGAGTCGTCGGGATTGATATCACGAGAGTCGTTTCTCAACGCTCTGGATGCGTAGTGGTAGATGTTGGTGGGTCCAGGGGGGCTGGATTGAGAGACTTTTCCCAAAGGCAAAGTCTTTGTAGGCACAGTTTTAGAGCGGGTCTTGTAAGCTTTTTACACTCAGGGCAGGAGTGTGTTTGGTGCTGTTCCCCTAAGCAAAAAAGGCAACGGTTGTGACTGTCAGTAAGTGGTATCTTGTTCGTGCAAAGCATGCCCCACTTGAAAGGCTCTGGGGGGGCATAAAAGGTTGGGGGGATAGGGAGGGAAAGTGGCGATTGTGGTTGGGGGAAAAGGGGAAAGAAAAAATGCAGGTAAAGAGAAAAAGGACTGAGGTAAATTGAAAAGGGATAACTTAACAGGGGAACGTCCAACAAATTTATGATTAAAATAGAAAATGAAAGAAATGATCAGAAGAATCAATAAATAGGCAGTAAAAGATCTCAATAATCGCTCTAGCATTCCGAAACAGGTCCAACCGAAGTGGCGGCAAAAAGGAACGGATGGGACAGAACATGCGCTCCACGGGGAACGTCCTACTAATCACATGTCTTTAAGCTCTAGAAACTTCCGAGCCATCCTGTGCAGGCGCAGAACCCAATTGTGTGCATTCACAGAGGCCACGAAGAAGTATATTGTTGGGAATGATATACAGCCCAACAGCAACTGATGAAGGAAGAGATGATAACCACAGTTCAGCAAAAGCTATAATCATTTGGTGGTGGGTGATCAAAGAACGTCTCCCTATGCATTGCAATATACATGTTCTTACGCAGGCAAAGGTATAGTAGAGATGGAGTCACTTTATGAATGCACATGTATGGAAGTGAGACAAGGTATCCATTAATCTAATAGACTGTTTGCTCCCTATTGATCTTGTATGAGAAAGAATCAGTAAAACAAACACACTCCTTAGATCAAAGGACAATAAACATCTGTGTGCCAGTCTAGCATGAGGATTCTGTGAAGAAAGACAGATTGCTAATCATAAACGGCAGCCAAAGGAAGATTGAACAAGAAAACACTGTTCAATGGCATAATATGCTTCAAATATATAGAGACAGATTGAATAATTTCATTTTTAAAAATTGCTTTTGTGAGTCTGTGGTAGGAGTAAGTTTTGAATTCTGGGTTGTGAAGGCTGGCTATGAGAACAAAAAGAAAAACAGATAACACTATAATTTCTCTGTTTCTCACAAGCTTGGCAAATATTCAACAAGAAGCCAATTGTTGCTCTGTGCTACTTTGTGTTACTCTTAAGTTCTATTATTTTATTCAACTATCTTGAAAGATCAAATTTCTGAAAACAATATATTTCTTGGGAGTTTCACTCACTACTGTGCCTCCTTGACATGGGCTGGACCCAATGATCTATGGGGTCCCTTCCAGTTCTGCAGTTCTAAGATAGCAATCACTGTGCAACTGCAGGGCAATAAGAATGAAGTATGATAGCTTACAGTGGCAATTACTAAATGAAGTAAAAATGTAAGTCCTGCCTAAGCTACCTCTAAGTCTCCAGGATAGGACAGTAAAGGTACACTGTACTACTACGATATACGATGATCATCAGACATTTGTACTCAATGACTTTCCTGACCCATGAGATTGCTGGTCATCAACAGCATATGAATAAGAGTATCTGCAATTACTGTGTTTCAGGAATGTCATCCTAGCTCCAAACACTTAGATATTTAATCTCAAAAAGTGTTATGAAAAACAAACTTACCTGCTCTGAACAGTGCTCCTGCAGCATAATGCATGGCTAATGCATGAGTGAGCTGCCTGGCAGTTGTAAAAATGGGTCCTCGTTCAAACAAAGAGAAGGAGAGAGGAGTATGATCTGAAGCAATATATAGCTTTAGCGAAGCATGGATGCTAACTAAGAGGCTCACTGGCTGGATTGCTAATTTCCTTAATTTAACTGGATTGACTAAAGCATTTGCATGTTGCCTCACTGGTTCGGGCAGTGTATTATGAAGAGCTAAGGCTTCTGTGGAATGGTAAATTCTTTTGCTATCTGGCAGGTAAGTCTCAAATAGAGTCTTAATGTAATAAACAAATGTGTCTTCCACATATAACCTGGCTGGTTTCATTTCAAAGATGAGGTCATTCACATGAAAGAGCAAACACTGCTCTTCTGACAAAGTGAGGGAGAGTTTGATGAAAGAGTTTTCATTATATTCTTCAAGGTCTTTGTTGGACATCATCAGACTGTGCATTTTGTTCCAATGTACAGTTTCATTTTTTTCTCCTTGGCATAGTAAGACGGGAAAATGGAAATTGGATTTGTTGTAAAGCTGATTGTCCAACTGCATGTCTCCACAAAAGATCTGCAGAGTGTAAAACTGCTGAATACTACTGGTGGCCTCTCCGTGAAATTCATGAGAAAGGGGTTTAAGGTAAGCGGCAATTGGGACCATATGAAGGTAAACATGGTCTATTGTGAACCGGAGAATTTCAGATGACGTTTCAGGGTTTGTGATGTCATCATATACAGTGAGACTCAGTTGGCTGATGAATGTTTTAAATACAAGGCTCCGCTCTTGAATGCTGGGTTGGAAAAAGCAAAAGCAACATAGTTCACACAATTTCAAAATAAAATCAAATGCAAATGTGATTAATATGAACTTGACTTCAGTATTCAAATTACCTACAGCCAATGTATACAAAGAGTCTGTGCCAAGTTAACACCCCTCTATCTGTCCATTTAACATAAAGTTATGGTTGAACTTCCCTGGAACATTTTATGTACAGTAGTTCTCAGTCATACTTGCAATGTAGCGTGAAGCTAAAGCAGACAATGGAAAATATCTCCACATGTTGTCATATTTTGGCTCTTTTGCAGGAGACAATAGGGAGCATTTCTACTATGGATCATTTAACTCCATGTTATGGAGACAATATCTTCACCTATTAAATCACTGTGGTTATTTTAAACCAACAACATGTTTGCTTGCTCTGTAGTGTTAACTGTCTTTGGCCAAACTTAACCAATAAATGGATGCTAAGCACTGATTGTCACTATTCCAGGAAGATTAATGCTCAAACTGCAGAGCATATTTCTCAACATTGACAGTAACACATTTGGCTCTCTTTTACACACCATATCTGGAAACCAAATGCTTTGATAGTTATAAATAGGGTAGCTTCCAGTGAAGATCTTGCAACTTTTGGCCACAAGGTAGTGTAATAAAGATGATCGACTACATAGTTTGCATGGGACTATTCTTCTGTCCTTCATCACAAATGAGAACTCCCACAGACCTCAATGGGAGTTCTGTGTGAGTAAGGACTGCCTATCTGGCCAAACAAACTTTAAACTTGTGAGTCTGTTCTGAGCCTTGTTTATTATACCAGGCATTTTGTGTTTATCCTAGAGTGACATGACCTCAGATGTTAGATTGTCATGTTTTACTATGATATACAAAATGTTAACATGTGGTCTAAACATATGCCATACATACTCAACGACACTAGACAAAACAAACAGTTGTACTAGATTTAATAAGTCAATTCACACCTAAAGGGGGAACAGCTTACACATTACTATTTTCTTTATGACTTCCAAGCAGTCATACCTGTTCAAGTTGGTCTGGTCTGCTGGTCTTTCTTCAGGTGCTAAAGTGATCATTATTGTTCCACACTGATGAGCAATATCCACATAAATGTAGCCAAAGCCAGTTAAAAACACAATCTAAAAGGGGAGGAAAATAACATTTAGTAATCCACAGAGCATGGCCAGACTTTGATTCATTCACATTAGTCCTGGATAGACTGAATAATAGTTACTCCAGAATAGTTCCAGTGGCTTCTTAGTTTCAGTTTTCTCTTTCAAGTGAAATAATAAGAACATGTCAGGCAAAAACATCCATCATGCCCGGAACCTGTTTATTTTCTCCTATTTTTTGAAATCCAGAATTGGATGCTAGAGGGAGAACTTGGAACTTGGCATTTTCCCTTTAACATCTGCCATTTGTCTTGCCTGCCCAAGCCCACTGCAGTATATATGGCCAGCATTATGAAATACATTCCTCACATTCCTCAAGCACAACCATGTTTTCAATTACCAGCGTTTGATTCTAGCCTATGTGCATACCTCACCTACACCACTGAGAAAGTCAGAGAGAGAAGTGAGCCCCTCCTACAGTTGCATGAAGATAATTGTGGTGTATCTTGATTAATCATGACATGAAACTATGGCCTAACAATTCACACCATCACACTGCCAAGAGATTCATAAACTCATAATACTCTGGTCCATAGCTCATTGATGTTTAAACCCCAATCAGAATAGAAGGAGAAAAAGTGGATCCGTTTTTGAAACAGGAGCTATTTTATATAGTTTGCATTCTTAATCAAAGAAGAAGAACAGCTGTAGCTGTGAAGATATCCTATGGTTGGCAAGAGAAAAACATTTTAAGTCTGACCGGTCTTCCATGCCTGTTATCAATACTGTATTCCATTGCCAGTATTATGTTCACTTACAGTTGTGGACCCCTTACAGAACTGGCATTGGATCTAGTTGTTGGCATAAGCCCACATCTACAGCATTCTCTGGTGCAGATGTCTCTGTGTTGCCTAGACTACCCCAAATAAAAAAATTGCCTCAGTCTCTGACACTGATAATGGGACTATAAACTAAACAGCTGGGGGGAAAGGAAGGAAGGAAGGAAGGAAGGAAAGAAGGAAGGAAAAAGAAAGAAGTGGGGTGGGAGGTAAATTGAATGTGATGTCAAAATGAAGATTCCTGGCTGAACACTATGAGTAAATAGGAATACTGAGGAAGCCCTTATTGAAATGGAACAAGCTATGAAGAATATATGTTGTTGAATCATGTTAGGCATGATATTTCAGGCCAAATCTTCTCCTGTAGGTAACCCATCTGAGCCTTAACTCTGCCTGTTTCTCTGGTCATTTTGGATGCTGTCTTCTTTCCTTTTTTGCCTAAATAATCACACAAATAGTTCCTGAAGTGTATTTGTAATTTATTTCAATCCTTTATTCTTTAACACTTAATATTCAGGATTTCATTCTATTCCTGGTTTAGTATCTTCTCTTAACCATGCAGACATAAAATCATAGAAGACAGCTCAGTTTCAGCAGCAGCATATTTGTAAATGAAACAATAATCAGTCCTAGATCATTTTTATGGGTGTTGATGCTGCTGTGGAAAAGAGGAATGCGGCATTATTCCAAATACCCCAAGTATGAGTTTTCAGGATTAATACTAGAAAAACCTGTTTCTTCAGGAAATTATATAGAAGTTTAATTAAATTAAGACTTTCCCCTTTTCTTCCTATCATATCCTTTGAGAAATAAAAGAAAACAATGGCTTTGAGGAAAAAAATGTGTATTGTAAGGGAAATCTTAGCAAAACTGAATGGAGAAAACTACTTGTTGTACATACCAACATTTATTTTAGAGTCTTTGGAGATATTATTTCATACATGGAAAAATGTTATGAGTACTGAAGAGAGCTGCTGAGAAATGAAATAAATATAAAAACACTCAGGGAACTCAATAGGAAACAGCTGAGTGGACAGCCCAACTATTGACAAATCAATGAAAATAACTTCTATGTAACAAAACAGTTAAAAAGACATACGGTACAAGTTTAAGTACTACTCTTGGTGTTAAGTAGACAAGTGTAACAACATGGTATGTCATATACAGTACTTGTAGCCTGCTTTACTTTTTCTATTGCCATAATGCAACATTTGCTTTCTATAGAATTTGAGAAAACGAACAGCAGCATATATAACAGATGTTATATAGCTGTAGAACTGCAGTTTGAACACACAAGCTAAACAGGATCATTTATTGGAACAGAAATGTTACCGAAAGTGAATTTTAAGAGGTCAATGTGCATTTTCAGTCAAAGCTTGCAATTGAGAATATCTAGTTATTGATAAGATGTTCAGTTATCGTTGTATAGAAATAAGAACAGAATAACATAAGAACAGCCCTGTTGGATCAGGCCACAAGCATATCTAGTCAAGCTTCCTGTATTTCACAATAGCCCCACCAGATGCCTCTGGGAGCACACGAGACAACTAGATCTGTACCTGTCTCCTGATTCCCCTCTCCTGCATCTGGCTTTCCTTTTAAGCCTGGAGATTATACATCCCCATCATGGCTTGTAACCTCTGATGGACTTTTCCTCCAGAAATCTGTCCAATCTCCTTTTAAAGGCATGTAGGCCAGATGCCATCTCCATATCCTGTGGAAAGGAGTTCCACAGAATAACAAGTAAAAGGTTAAAAAATAACAAAAACATGGTGGCACCTTAAAGACTAACTTTTATATATTTAAAATGAGCTTTCATGGACAAGTCCACTTAATCTGACCTCTTATGTCTAATGAAGTGGACTTGTCCAGGAAAGCTCACATTAAAAATATAAAAGTTAGTCTTTAAGGTACCACCACATTTTTTTGTTGTTTAAACTTTTTGTTTCTATTTTGCTTTTACCTGTAAGGCTTCCACAGACTAACCCGGCTACCCATTCTACAACTACAGTTATTGCTGAGACATTCATAATCAAAATGACAGTCAGTCATTAAATAAATCTGGCAGTAAATTTAGAATAAAGCATTGAAAATGGAGTTATTTTTTCTCTGTGTGCAATGGTGGATAGTGGTTTACAAGCCTCTAAAATGGGATATAGAGCTAGTGGCTAGGAGGCAGTAATAGTTCATAGGTAGATAGTGCCGTGATTTAGGTCTCTGGCTGCAGAACCAGAGGCTGGGAGTTCAATTTCTCACAGTGCCTCCTTGACACAGAGTCCCATCCAGCTCTGCACTTCTAAGTTAAAGGCCACATATGTTCTAAGCGGAGGTACTTAGCAACAGTTTACAGACTTTCCAGTTCACTACAGGAAGAAGAGGGACAAGGTTTACCAATCTGAGTGAACTCTTCTCAGTAGTGTTCTGTTGGATTGTGGCTGTTTGATCAGAATCCTCTCCCACTGAATGGAAATTTGAGCTCCAAGTGGGAGCAATTGAGAATGCAAAACATGGACAAAGAAGAAGCATTAGCCTCACTGTGCAATAGTTCTCTAAAGAAAAGTTAACAGTATGTTAGAACATTTGCATGGTTTGCTCCTGTTTGTAGGAATTTCTTTTGGAAATCAACATTATGAGGAACAAATCCAGACTGTCCCGCTTCCCCATGCTTGCATTTTTGCATTGGGAGGAAGCACCCTTTACTTAGATCAGAGTGTTTGGAAGCTTTTTCAAAAACACAACGGGACTTCTGAATTTTGACAGAGCAACAGAGATGTATGGCCCATAGTGGGTTGGGGGTGACAGTAATACAGCCTCCTGAACACCAGAGGTTGTGCTCCCCCTGTTCTTGAATGTTGGTAAACAGGACCGTATGAGGGGGCTGGTAGGGTGGTGCCCCATATAATGGTCCAGCCTTTCCTGATTAGCTCAGAGATAGAGCTGCATTCTTTATTCTACCTGAATCATCATGCTACTGATCTGACACATCTGTCAATGACTCATGCACATTTGCTTTTGAGTTAAATGAATAACATTAAAATGTGTTAAATTAACAGTGGAGGAAAAGGAATTTTTACAAAGGTCACTATATTATTTAATAATATATATATTGCTTCTGGCCTGTCCTTGTCTCAGTTTAAAAACTTGGTGGCCACAGCACTACTCTGATACATGAAATAGTATCTTGCTAAATTATTTCTTTGAATACTTCCTTATGGCAATTAATTCCACAGGTCAAATAAACATGACAAAGGAAACATTTTTGTTTAAGTTTCTTTACATTTATAGATGCATTTCCCATTCCACAAGTATCCTTTTCATCTTGCATTGTAGGAAGTGCTTTTTCACCCTTGCAGCTCCTGCCTTTCTGAACACTTCAATCAAATAACTTGGGAATCTGTGTCAAATGTGACTTTGATAGTGGATGGCAGATGTGATTTTCAGTAAATACATATAGAACTGTCTTACAAGACAGAAAAAGAGCACTTAGGTTAAACCAGCAACTAGACTGAAAGAGTAAATGGTTCATGATTCTGTGAAATCAAAGCTGTGTAGATTCAATGCAAAAAATAAATAAATCTACAGATACTAAATTTTGCTACAAAGAAAAATTTAAATTTAATTTGTTTGATGAATCATTATCAATTTTATTTGCATAATTTATTTCACTTCCATGATTCAGTCTTTTAAGATACCAGACTCTGCCTGTTAGATAGATTAGTATGGATATACTGTAACATAATTCCATGCATCAGTATCCAAAGTAATAGCCATGATGCAATCTGACAAGAAAGGAAAGGTATAAAAAGATTGATTAATAACCAGCAAACTGACAGTTCTTCAAATTCACTGCCTCACATTGTTGGAGAGAATGAGAAAATAAAAGACAACACTCTTTTCTTCTAATTGTGAGGTTTCTCTGCATGAGATTCCACTCCTCACCTGCTGCCAAGAAATCAGGTGGGAAATCTCAAAGAATTTCTTAGAAGTCTTTTTGGCACTTAAGACATAATAGCATGTTTGCAGGATTTACTATAAAGGGCATTAAGTTGGCAGAATTCAGTATTTTTCTGTGCAGATCAATAAGCAAAAATATCAAGGGGTTGAGAGTATAAAGATGAGAAACAAGACCACTAATTTGTGTGATGGCAAGAGGAGAAGGGGACGACCGAGGATGAGATGGCTGGACAGTGTCTGCGAAGCAACCAACATGAACCTGACGCAACTCCGGGAGGCAGTAGAAGACAGGAGGGCCTGGCGTGCTCTGGTCCATGGGGTCACGAAGAGTCGGACACGACTAAACGACTAAACACACACACAAGTTGGCAGAATTCAGTATTTTTCTGTGCAGATCAATAAGCAAAAATATCAAGGGGTTGAGAGTATAAAGATGAGAAACAAGACCACTAATTTTCCTTGGAAGCCAGGAAATCTCACAGGTATAGGAGGAAGTCTCAGCAGTGAGTCTCAGCAGGGCAAGACTCTGAGAACTATCAAGAACAAAACATTTTGCATGTCCTCATGTTATCCATATTTCAAACTTTAATGAACAATCACAAAAATATAAGATGTAGAAAAAGAAATGGCAGATGATACTCAGGATAAAACTGCTACAGTACAGCAATTGTGAGTTTTCACTGTGAATTTGTACCTATATAGAAAAAAAATGCAGACTTAGGGTTTAACTAGATGCCTAACTATGAGGCTGCCATTAGATAGCTCCCTATCTAATTTCCTCTTTCCACCTTCACCATATTATTTATGGGAAATGCATGCACCATCTTTTTATGATGGGGTATGGGAATACACAAAATAATTGATTATTTGTCTTATTTACTGAACATTACCAGACAAAAAAGGGAAAGATACATAAAATTTATGCTTTTGATGGAATCTCTATGATAAAAGCTGAGGTTAATCCTGCACTTAAGAATATACTACTTGTTTATTTGTTTTAGTTTGTTTTTCTTCTCAGGCTTGAAAGCAACATTTACTGCTACTGATTCTTGTTATAATTGTATTTTCAACTACTTTCCTGCATGTTATTCTTTTTTCCTTTCGTCTCCCCATTACCAACATTTTGTTTGGAAGCTTCTTTTAAAAACAGGAAAAAAAGACCAAAAAAGAAAACACAACTTTCTTGATTTTCTTTAGTACTTCTTAATTGTTTGTTTCCTCAGTCCAATGAATTGTGACAAAAGCTTCATAAAGGGCACAAACAGCTTGTAAGTCATAAAAATAACAGTGGACATTCATACCCAAACATACAACCCGCATTCAAGTACAATGGAAAGTATGCATGTTTATCTGTCCCATATCAATAAAATTCTTCATTGCTCTTGAAATACATGCAGACTATTTTAGTGAAGAATGAACCACATTCTCTTCTTTAGAAAGACAATGCAACTGACCTTAGATTAAGATTTTATGAACTGCTCACAAAAATGGTCTGAAATCTCCACATTTTATTTAAAAGAGAAGTGTCAGAGATGAAATAATGACTTATAAGATGTGGAAAGCACTTCCCCTTTTTTGGGGAAGAAGAAACCCATTTAAAGAAAGATAATTTACAGTATGAAGAAAAACCCAACTAAAACAAGACTCTCTCTTTTAAAATAAAAAAGTACAAGAATAAAGCAGAAAAATAGTGTTTCTGTCTTATATTCAAATAGGCCACTGAAAAATCTGTTGCACTAGCAGATAAACATTTACCAATTTAGCACAAGAAATCATTTTGCATCACACAACGCTGATTCATTGAATGGACTTACTCTGGTGAGATTTACAGTTGCACTTTTAACTATATGCTATTTCTGATCACAACAGGAAGTATTGCAGAAGAAAATTTCCCAATAAATTAATTATGATGTGTGTTTCAATCCTAATAAAGAAAAACATTTAATTGCAACTTGAGTGTGGATAGCAAGTGTGGTATAGTGAACAGAGTAATAGATTAGGATTCAGGAGGTTCTGCCATGGAAATGAGCTGGGGGTGAGGAACTGCAAAAACCATTCCTTAACTATCTCTTACAGTGGTGCCTCACTAGACAGTTACCCCGCATGACAGTTTCTTTGATAGACATTGACTTTTTGCGATCGCTATAGCGATTCGCAAAACTGATTCCGACAGGGGAATTTTGCTGGACAATGTTTGGTCCCTACTTCGCAAACCGATTTTCGCTAGATAATGATTTTGACAGCTCCCTCCACGCTCGCAAAATGGGTGTTTTCAGGACCTAAGCTTCGTAAGACAGCTATTTAAACAGCTGATCGGTGGTTCGCAAAGTGGCTTTCCTATGGCCGATCTTCGCTAGACAACGACAATTCTTCCCCATTGGAACGCATTAAACAGGTTTTAATGCATTCCAACAGGGAAATGCTTTTCGCTAGACAATGATTTCGCTAAACAGCGATTTCAGTGGAACGGATTATCATCATCTAGTGAGGCACCACTGTACTTGCCACTGGGTTTTTAAAGATATTTTAAAGCATCCATTATCAACCTTTTTTTTCTTTTTAAAACGAGTTCCCTTTTAAGAACTCTTCTCAGTTTCCAGGGCTCCCTGTCAAAAAAGGAATCTGTGGTCCCCTTCAAATGTGCCAGGGCTCTCCAGGAGACCATATGCCTCTGTTGAGAATTGTCTAGCGAGGCACCACTGTACCTTGAAAACCCTATTATGGTTGCTATAAGACAGTTCTGACTTGATAGCACATAACAACAACAGAGTGTGGATTACTTGTGGATGTTACATATATATTTTCACTGTATGCTTACCCTGCTTCAAAACGTTTTCTCTCTGATTCAGTTTTGTGCTACAAATTGCAAAAAAAAAAAAATCAAAACACTAACCTGAGTGCCTTGGTTATTAATGTCCACAAAATCACTCCATTCATTTTGTAATTTTTCTGATGATATAACTTTAAAAAGGATGCTCGGTACAAGATCTTTAGTTCTGCAATCTGGATAGCTTAAGACTTGATGATAAAGCTCATGATGTACTGAACTTTCAGCTGGAACATACTTGCAGTAAACATCAAACTTTGGTGTGTCTGGAATTGAGTAAAAGGTCAAGAAGTCTCTTCAAAGAAAGAAGTTTCTACTTGCAACATAGTTCTATATTGCCGCCATACAGATACACAAGGTAGCTTCTAATGAACTCTACTCAACAGATTAGGACTATCTACAATTATTATTTCTTTATTTCGCCTTTCATACTTCCACCCAAACAAATAATCCCACAATTTGAATATACTTTTGAACAAATTTACTGAAATAAAAAATATAGCACAGGAAAAGAAGTTGCTTTATTAAAAAGCTTAAACATTATGTTAGAGCAGTATAAAAAATACCTCTGAAGTTTTCTTTCACAAGCAATGAGACCGAACACTTGTTGTGGATAATTATACGAGGACTAGGGTCTTCTGACATAGTTAAATATGTCACTCCAAGATGTTCCTGGTAAGTCAGTGCTATAGCCCTAAAGTGAACCAAAGTGATTGTATTATTGTTGGCACATGTTATGCAACCTCCACTTCTTATCAACATAACAGTGTATTGAAAGAACAACCAACTCTCTCCCTTAAAACCAACATCCCATTAATAACTCCCCCATTTAAAAAATGTGACTGTGTGGTGAGGGAGAAGCTTAAAAAGAGAAAACACAGAAAAGATCAACAAAACGTTATATGGGGAAACCTAAGCACACATATTTGAGTTTACACAGCAGAGCCATAACTAGGTCTCTGCCCCAAGGTGCCATGTTCAGAGGACAGGGCTCCTTTAGACTTCTAAAATCAGTCTGGTCTATCACTATAGGAAAACATGGCAAAAGACCAGGCCTCTAGGGCGAAACTTTGGCAGGCCTCATGGCTGGCAGATTTAACTTTATAAAGGTCCTTCTTCAAATCTGCACTCTACAGTAAGAATAGCATCAGCTTGGGGGTCATAAAATAGAAAGTAATTCTCTTGGCACCTTAAAGTCTAAAAAGTTTATTAAGGATAAGTTTTCATGGAAACCTACAACAGACAACATGAACCAGGCCCTTTTTCCTAGGGCTTAATTTATAGTTAATTCTCTTCTATGCCAATTCAAGACTGAACACCCAAGAAACACAAAGACCCTCAGGCTCTGACTAGGGTGAAATCCAAGGGGGAAAGGATACCAGAATCGAATGGATGGCCTTCAGGAATATTCCTCAGGATACCTTACCTGTCAAAATATGAATTCACCTTACCTTAAACACTGCAATAGAATATAATGCTGTCTATTGTGGAAAGAAGAAGAAACTCTCTTATTGTTCAGGAATATTACTTTCATCCTAGTGATTTCTATCTCACATTAATTATGCCACAAAAATACGAGGCTAGTGAGAGGTTCTTGTGAGGTATTATACTCTACATTTTTCCTTCTCATTGGAATTGTATATACTGTATAAGAAAGGTACCCTCAAATTCTGAACAATATGCACCTTGCAAAAAGACCATGGAAGCAGAACATTGGAATTTATGGTGCACATTAACCCCATTTTAATACAGAGCCTATAACATCGGTGTTTTCAGTTAAACTACACACTCATTCTACATACCTAGTACAGAATCCACGTTCATCTCTACCACAAAGAGGGATGGCTATGCTCTGCCTTGGGAATTCCTGCCTAATGACAACCGGTGGGCTCCAGCATGGAAAGGTGAGATCATTTATCCCTTGTCTGAAGCTCAGCAGCATATACTTCTGAAGAGAAGGAACATCAGAAGTGGATTGGCTAATGTCAGGCATGATATCCCAGAAAGGAATGGAGCTTGTTTCAGCAGTGTCTGATTCCTTAACTGAGCAGATGCTGAACGTACTACTATCTGGAATGTGTAAGAACTAGAAGAAAACACAGAAAAGAGTACAGATTACTATTTCTTTGAACAGTTTAGAGGAGTCTCAATAAGTACAAGTTAGGTTTCTACAGAAGTTGTAGACAATGCAATCTAGAATGTGTATATCATGTGTAAGTGGAATCTGCTTGCCAACGTTCTTCCTTAGCACGCCAAACAATATTATAATAGGCTCATGGCATTTCCTGTGTAGTTGCTTTGCAAGCCATTTAGGAAGATCAACTATTTGCAGTCTGTACCTGTCTCTGTGAACTGTTCTGCTGGATACAAGGGGATGTACCTTATGTTGGTGATATGAAAAATACCTATTCTGGACAGTGGGGTATGCGTGGATGTCTCATCTTCAATAAAGATCAGTGCAACTGATTTGAAAAATGTTCAGATGTATAACAACAACAACAACAACAACAACAGTGTTGTTGTTGTTGTACCGGCAAGTCCATTCTGATTTATGGTAACCCTTCCAGGGTTTTCTAGATAGAGAATACTTGAAGTGGTTTATCATTCCCTTCTTCTGAGGGTGCCCTGAGACTATGCAGCTTGCCAAATGCCACACAGACTGGCTCTTCCTCTGAGAGGCACAAAGATTGGAAAACCTTCTCCCAGAACTCCCCATCTCTGACACTGCAGTCATTTATCTAAACCACTGAGCTATCCAGCCAGCTCACATTTCATTACTTACTACTTTTATCGACATGTATTTCACAATAATAGTGGCTATTGTACATATTTAAATTTTTTTATTCTTGCATTTTGCTAGGACTAGGAACCAGAAATGGCTGAAATGATGTAGGTTCTTCGAATGCATATAGGCCAGAAGTGCTTATATACCAATAGATTTAAGTTCAGGTGCCATAAACATTTTTAGCTTGCAAGCAGACATAACTTGTCTATATGAGAACTTCGTAAATATTCTTAGAACTATTTCAACAGCTATTACAGATTATGCTGCCTCTGTTCCAGCAGCAGCCTTTAGCTTCTTAACAGATGGAGACCAGGCAGAACTATGAAGTATAAGGATCTTCCACAATGCAGAAATCATAGTTAATTACCATGGCTGATTGTATTATGACATCTATGTTTTTCATTAAAGCAACTTAAAATGAATGACTTTTATTAACTACTAATCCAGTGTTTTTCATTCAGTAAGAGGTTTAGCCTTTATATAAATATGACTTTCTACTCAATGTATGTAGAAGCTAAACAAAAACAGTAATTGTTAATATTTTACCTCTTCTCTCAGCTGGGAGTCCATAACAGATATTTGTGGCCTATAATAGATTTGGTATGGTGTGTTATTGACTATGATACTCTTGTCTTCAATTTGCAGGATTTGAATACCACGTTGGACAATGGAAGAAATGCAGAACTGACACAACTGTAGGACAAAGTAGTAACAGAAGTTAATGTAATAGTTAATATAAAAGTAGTAACAGAAGTTAATATGCAATGTGCATATCTTTCCTAACCCAGTAACCATATGAAATAAATAATTCATATTTTTTCTGGAAAACTGGCATAATCCTCCATCCCACCCTTTTATAAACATCTTTAAGGAAGATAACATATATCTGTTCACAATCTCCTTAGACTATTGATCTGACATCTTTCTATTTGACCAAATAACTGTAAACATCATATTTACAGTGCCTAAGCAGGATGAGATCAATTGCATCACAACCTTAGAAACCATGAATTTAATATTTTAAAGGATGCCTTATTGCTGGCATTTTAGCATATATCTCAAATATTTCTAACCTTCTGATGTCCTGGAAAAGCTCCAAGTCTTATCTCAGCTTCAACAAACCCTTCTTCATCCAATGTCACCACTTCCTCATTGTCTCCATCCTTCCATTTTGGTGATGTCATGTTGTGGACCAACTTGATTGCTACTGACTTGTGTACAGTATTAGTGTTCGCCCAGTATATTCCAAGTTGAAAAGCTTCCTAAAACAAAAAGCATGTTACCATGCTTTGCACTTTCTGATCTTAATACTTTCAGTTCAATGTGTAGACAAAAGAAGCTTGAAAATGTAATCGTCCACATTTAAAGTTTATGTTCATTTTACTAGAAACCTTTTCCTCTTAATTTTATATGACATTAAGCAATGGTCTCCAATCTGCATGCTGAACTCTATTTTAATCAAAGATTTAGTGGTCCTTTCTGATGATAAATAATGAAAAAGAGCTTACAATGGGAAATGCTTCAATATTTTGGTGAAGAAACAATTAGGGCCATTTCCAAAGGGGGGTAAACGTGAACCTCTATACGAATACATGATTGCACAGAGGTGTGATTCATGCCCTCCCCTGCAACAACATGGAACAATCAGTTGAAGATCAATGATCTGCTCGATAGCTCAGTGGTTTAGGCATCTGGCTGTGGAGCCAAAGGTTGGGAGTGCCTCCTTGAGAGGGACTGGACTCAATGGTCCCTTCCAGCTCTGCGGTTCTAAGATTATATTAGATTATTATAAACTGAAGCTGAGAAGAACCAAGTGGAAAATGGCTATAATCTTATTGGTGTTCATGTAGGTTTGTATAACTAATGAAGTGTTGAGATGCACTGCAGTTGTGTAATCAGTCATGTGACCAGTCACATGAGATGCACCATTGTCAATTAGCCTTAATTGTGGCAAGTTATGCAAAACCTACATAAACAGTAACAGGCTTCTTGCAATTGGAAACTTCTGTATGTGGGGGTGATTCATAATAATTTTCCACCACTGAATGCTGACATCCTTCTAGCTATATGTATGTATGAACTAATGCTGAGATTTTTTTTGTATAAGCTGTACAGTATAAAACTTAGTTGCACACACACGTTTTTATTGAATAAGTCAACAGACCATTTCAATATTACATAGCAAAACATATAAATATATGTGTAAAATGATAATAATAAAACCTAGTCTGCAACAAAATACTGTAGTCCATTTTTGGTTTGTGCGGGCAAAAGGCAGAAATTCTTTAGATCATTAAAATAAATGGCATGACATGATAATAAGAGAAGGCCAAGCTAAACTATATTGAAGTCCTTTCTTATGAAAGGCATGGATTGATAGGGAAGTTTTTATTTGAAGCTCAGAGTGACCATACACCTCAATTTTTAAACTGATATTATTTTCTAGACTCTGCTGAATGTCAGTACTTACAGTACTTTCTAATACCTAAGTACTGTATTCTCCTGCAGCTCTGAACATGCTGACATCTTTTAGATATGAGATATGAGTACTGTATTGAACCAGAACAGAAAAAAATTTATACTTAATAAACATCTAATGCTGGTTTTAAAGTATGATATATAAGGCAAGAAGAAAAGTGTGGAACAAGGAAATTATTTGCTCTTGCGTTAATGGCTTTATAGGATCTGTGGAGAGGAGTTGAAGTTCAGTTTCATATTCTGAAATAAGTAGCTGAAAGACACTGGGTCCCTAAAACTCCCCCTAAGACTTTCTACTGGGATGGAAAAGTATCGAAGAACCCAAGATGAGGGAGCTGTCCACCTCAACTAACACAAGCTGGCAAAGACCCAGGAAGACAAGGGCAAATGCTCCAGAGGAACTCCCACAAAGACTTGAGGAGACCTGAGGATTTCAGGCTTGTATCTGGTGTGGCATGTTAAGCCATCCTAGTTGTGCCACCCTCTCTCTGTCTTAAATTTCCAGATTTGTTCAAACCTCCACAAAATACAGAGGCAGTCTCAGGAAGGAGGTCTCTTGGTTACAGAGGCAGGAAGAGAGAAGGGGAATTTTTTAAAATGACATTGAGCTGTTATGTGTTTCTGGTTTACCCCTCTTAAAATTAATGATGATTCAACTCAAAGTTCTATAGATCCTTTTGCATATATTGTTTGGTCCATTTATGGAACAAAGGCTGGAAGAGGGGCAGGCAGCACAAACCTTATGATGACTATGTAGCTGACAGAGCAGCAATGACCTTTCATAAATGCATACTCTCCTAATCAATAGACTGAAGACCTTACTGTTCAACTGTTAACATTCAAGCAAGTGGCATACAGCTAAGAGCTATATATGAATATCTACCTGTACATATGGTCATATTTCAAAAAAGTTTATGCTTAATTTTAGAGTATTTTTAAAAGCTTATTATCGATTTATTCTTTGCTTTTTCTGTTTCAAGGTGTTTTTATTTATTGCGTTTGTTTCTTCATATGTTTCAAGCATCATAAAGTAAAACTATTAACAAAGATCCTTAGTACAATTTTTTCAGGGACCCAGAATGTAATAAGGATATTCTTCCCATTTCCTGACTTCAGATTTCTTTTTAAATTCTCCACAGTCTAGAATATAGTGTCTATTCTCATATTACAGAGTCTAGAAAGCACAAAAACACTCACTGCTTGCCTGTATTAGGAGCAGATATAACTGGACAGCTGATGCAGAGATCAGGAAAATCGGAGCGTGTTTGTCTCTCTTTGTGCATATGAAAAAAGTAAAAAAACATGCTGGGCCTCCCGTCATTGCTCAAGCATATATACTGTATTATGCCCTTTGATCTGGCCATGAAGTGAAATGATCATACTTAAAAGAACATAACATATAACAATGTGAGTAATAAGCTTGCCTGAAAGTTGGGAGGTATCATTGTTTTTCCTGCAGGTATCTGCAGGACGATCTTCTCGCCTTCAAACAGCCAAAGATCCCATTTGGAATGATTGATTAGGAGAGCCCATGGCAGGAGTTCTATCAGGAGGGTTTTCACACATGGCTTCCACACTGACAATTTCACTCGCATGGGGCTGTCCCACTGAGTGAGTTGTTCACTGCTGTTTCAAGTAACATTATCAAAGCAGAGATAAAAGAAAATGTTTAATTCATTGGTAAGATTTGCAGTTTATCATTCTAGCCATTTATAAAGCTTTTGTTACATTTCAGTGCCTTCCGATAACAGATATGATTCTGAAATAGAAAGATATTCTGCCAGGGCAAATCTGTCCCTCATTTAACTAGATTTACTGCTTTGATTTAAATAGGCCTCCCTTCAAGGATCAAAAAGCCAGTCACATTTTTTGAAATAATTCAATTAAAAGTGAGCTCAAAACAACACCTGGCATCATGTCTCCTTGCTAAGTTCTTATTCCTACAAATATGATATCAAATATACCTTTCTCCAAATATATATATTCAGTTTCTTAACCCCCATGTGTCCTCTGAGGAGAAAAACCCTGAACTAACTTAAGCTTTTGAGTTATGAAAGAAAAATATTAGACGTTTCTATCAAGGATGCAGTCAAGAACAATACAGTGGAGCTTGCAAAAGTTACATTTTTGGAGTTCAGATCCCAGAATCCTCCACCAGAATACCCCCAGTCAGCATGGCCATGTTGGCTTTTGATTCTTGGAAATGTACTTGGGGAAAAAAAACCCAAAACAAGCTGTGCAATATACATAGCCATGTTCTTGGGAAAAATGGGGAAAAAAATGAGTGGGCTCATGTAACACTTTTGATGTCAGAGTTCAAGCTACAGAATTGGAGGAGTTCTACCCCCTACGCGGTGCACGAATACAAATCAAAGGGTATCTGCTGTCTAAATTTCTCTTGAATGCCTCCAATATTGGAGCACTTAACACCTCTCAAGGCAATTGGTTCCGCGGCTGTACTGTTCTAACAGTTAGGAAGTTTTTCCTGATATTCAATTAAAATCTGGCTTCCTGTAACTTCAGCCCATTGTTGTATGTCCTGCTCTCTGGGCTGCTCTCTGGGCTGATTGAGAACAGATCCTACCCCAACTCTATATGACAGCCTTTTGAGTATTTGCAAAGTGCTGTCATACGAGTATTTGCAAAGTGCTGTCATGCCTTCCTCAGTCTTCTTTTCTCAAGGCTATACATACAGTTATTTTGGTCTTTCCTGATAGGATTTGGTGATAGGATTTGGTTTCCAGCCCCCTAATCATCCTTGTTACCCTCCTCTGAACTTTTTCAAATTGGTCAGTATCGTTCTTGAAGTGTGGTGTCCAGAATTAGACATAGTACTCAAGGGATAAGGAGACAGACTTAGATTATATGGTGATCCCTTGAGGGATTTGGAGACTATATGTCTATTAATGCAGCCTAAAACAGTGTTTGCCTTTTTTGTAGATACATACATCACACTGTAGACTCATATTCAGCTAGTAATCTACAAGGATTCCAAGATCCTTCTCGCTCACAGTATTACTGAACCAGGTACGATTCCAAGATCCTTCTCGCTCGCAGTATTACTGAACCAGGTATCCTCATTTTGTAACAGTGTGTTTGGTTTCTTTTTCTGGAGTGCAGTACTTTGCATTTACCCCTGCTGAATTTCATTCTGCTGTTTTCAACCTAATGCTCAAGTCTATCTAGATAATTTTGAATTCTGTTTCTGTCTTCCAAAGTACAGTATTAGCCATTCCACTCAATTTTGTGTCATCCACAAATTTAACAAGCATTCCCTGCACTCCTTGATCCAAGTCATTAATAAAAATGTTGAAGAGCACTGGACCCAAAGAATGAGACTTGGGGTACCTCACTTGTTACCTCCTTCAAGTTGGAGAAGGAGCCATTAATCATCACCCTGTGAGTATGATTCTGTAGACAGTTCTGTATCCACCTGACAATTAATCTATCCAGCCCACACCTAGTTAGCTTGCTAATTAGGATATCATGGGGCACTTTGTCAAAAACTTTGCTGAAGTCAAGATATATTATGTCTACAGCATTCCCTCTATCTATCAGGGATATTACACAATCAAAAAATGAGATCAGATTAGTCTGGCAAGATTTGTTCTTGATAAATCCGTGTCGACTTCTAGTGGACAGAGGGAAGCTCTTTTTGTTCTTGATAAATCCGTGTTGACTTCTAGTGGACAGAGGGAAGCTCATTTTCCTCTCATGCAACACCAGAACCAGGGGACATCCACCAAAATTGAGTGTTGGGAGAGTGAGAATAGACAAAAGAATAGATTTATTTACCCACCACGTTGTTAGTCTGTGGAACTTCTTGCCACAGGATGTGGTGATGGCATCCGGCCTACATGCCTTTAAAAGGGGATTGGACAGATTCCTGAAGGAAAAGTCCATCGCAGGTTACAAGGCATGATGGGGATGTATAATCTTCAGGCTTAAAAGGAAGGTAATTCAAAATGCCAGATGCAGGGGAGGGGTATCAGGAGACAAGTATCTAGTTCTCTCATGTATTCCCAGAGGCATTTGGTGGGGCCACTGTGAGATACAGGAAGCTGGACTAGATGGGCCCTTGGTCTTATCAAGCAGGGCTCTTCTTATATTCTTATTACTGCATTGTTTTCTAGGTGCTTGCATAGTGACTGCATTATAATTTGTTCCAGAATTTCCCTGTGATTGGTGTCAGGCTGACTGGTCTGTAGGCCCCAGGTTCCTCTGATGTCAGGCTGACTGGTCTGTAGGTCCCAGGTTCCTCCTTTTTACCCTTTCTGAAGATAGGGACAACATTAATCTTCCTCCAATCACGTGATACCTCACCCATTTCCAATGATTTCAAGAAAATAATGGACAGTGGTTCTGAGAGTCCTTCAGCCAATTCCTTCATTACCCTTGGATGCCATTCATCTGGCCCTGGAGATTTGAACTCATTCAAGGTAATGGTAGTCCTTGCTTGTTTATCAGTCTCCAGCTACAATCCTGTAGCGTCAATTTGCACTTCACATTTGTCTAGAGGGTCATAGTCTGCCCTTTGGGAAAAGACTGAACTAAAATAGGAATTGGGTACTTCTGCCTTTTCTTTGTTGTTTATTATCATTTTTCCATCTCCACTGAGTAGCTGAATAAGTTTTTTAAATTTTTCTTTTGCTACGCACATAACAAAAGAATGCTGTTTTGTTGCTTTTAGTGTCTCTAGCTAACCTCGGCTCATTCTCAGCTTTTGCACTTTTGGTTCTATCTCCACAGAACCTCAGCTCATTCTCAGCTTTTGCGCTCTTGGTTCTATCTCCACAATTCCTTGCTACTTATCTGTACTCTTCCTTTGTGGCCTGGCCTTCTTTCCACTGCTTACATGTGCTATTTTTGTTTTGTTTTCAGGTTCTCTGAGTTTTTTGTGATGCCACACTGGCATTTTTTTTGCTGTCTCCCACCTTTTTTTCATGTTGGAATTGTTTGTAGATGTGCCTTTAGAATTTCCTTTTTGAAAAATTCCCATCCCTGTTGGACTCATTTGATTGTTAGGATTTCCTGCCATAGGAACTTATTTATCCTTGTTTGGAGTTTATTAAAATTGGCTTTTTAAAACTGCTGTATTCCAGTCAGCAGTTTCAGTTATTCCTATCTCAGTTATTCCTATCAAGTCATATTTACCCTCCTAAACTAAGATTTCCAGTTCTTCTTGTTTGTTTCCCATATTTCTGGCTTTCATACAGAGACACTGGAGAGTATGTGATTTGTACCCTGCTTTTCTTCGTACATTTTAATGAATATTATGATTAATGTTAATTAATTACTGACTCCCATTAGAACTGTTTGGGTCATTCCTCTTATTATGTGTAAGGCTTCATCCATCTTTACCTCGCTGCTTGTTTGTTTCCAGTACTTCCAATTCAGTTTAAAGCCCTCCTGATGAAGTTCTTCATGCTGTGGCCAAACACACTCTTCCCAGTCCTTGTGAGGAGCAAGCCATCTCTTGCTAGCAGTCCATCTTCCACGAAGCTTAGCGTGGGTCTTTTTCCCAACCCTATATGGACATGCCAGAGACTGAACCTGGGACCTAGTACTGAGCTGTAGTCCTATTAGCAATGGGTAGCAACATATTAAAATAAAACAAAATAAAACATATAATATTCTTAAATAATTCTACAAAGGAATTTGTTTCAGATTCATACACAGATTATAAATATATGTCTTCACTGCAGAATAATTTTGAAACAAATCGTTAAGGGGATGCCATACCAGACAAAATCTTTTTTTGTATAAGGCCACACAGACTGAGGGGAACTGCCACACCCATAGAAGTCAGCAAGTATTTCATTCACAGTGCCACCTGTGTTTGATTTAGTGGCTATCTGCTTAATAAGTGCTGTTGAGATGGGGACTGCACATTCCGATGGACCATCTTCTTCCCTGTCACACAGAGACACAATGAAACATGTGGTATTCATTGCATAGATTGATTAGAGAAAGTTACACACATTTTCTACAGAAGTGGTTGAGCCCCTGGATATGTTAGGCTAAAATACCCATAACAGGTAGATAGCAAGGATAGATCGAGGTTGTAGGTGAAGACCATCTGGTAATCCAGGATTGAGGACCACTGCTGTATGCAGTGAGATATGATTCTGATGAGATTCTGTACTGCAATGAAGTCACTTGCAGTCTATCAGTACTAAGACTCCAGTCTATTATCTTTAGGAAATAGGCAGTATACAATGCTCCCTTCTTCCATCAGGCTCCTATATACTGTTTTGGTGCTGTGAATAATTTTTTTTAATGCTGCTGAGAGATGCACTGTGAGAAGAAACGGAAAGAATGTTCTCTTGTGCTGGTGGCACATGCACATGTGCAATATGAGGTTTAGGTCAGTGTTTTCAAAGAGAAAAACACAAAAGCTTTACCTGGCTTGGAAGGTCAGGTGATGAGTTAGATCAGGTTCAATATTTTGCAATGACTTTTCTTGACCTTTTCCTGGAATCATTTGTATTTCATTCTGTCCTAGGCTCCTTTTCTCTAAATGTATGATGATGGGATCTGGAAGATGGCTCCTCATGATAAAAAGAGGGCTGAAAACAATCTACAAAATGAAGGCAGCAGAATAGTGTCATTGTTATATCTACATAAAAGCATCCAGATATTTAAAAAACTGTCAATAAATCTCTCTTTAGGATCAATCTTGCCTTAATTTAGTTCAGAACGTAAGGACTAAGATCAATCAGGACAGTAGAGAATGTACTCACAATTCTTTGCTGGACTTGTGAATTGGCCTCTAGCATCAAAACCATGCACCATACATAAATAATGGAGTTGTTTGATGATGGTACCTACAGACAAAAGAAGCATAAATACTTCTTGAGGTTATGGTAGCCTCACAGAACCAAATGTTTTTTATCAACAGTCAGTCCAATGTACTGTAGATCAGAGATAGTTTTTCTAAAAAAATCAGTAGCTGAAATTCTATTGCTTAGCTAGAGTCATACTAGAGTGGGCTCAATGAATCAGCAGGATTTGGTGAGTCAAACCCTCTGTAGTTTCTATTGCTTCAAACTGGCCTACTCCGGTTGCAATTTACTATGCTAAAGTAAATTGAATTAGATTAGGCCCATTTAAATCAGTGGAACATACAGAGGAACTGACCCACAAAATGTCCCTGATTCAATGGGGCTACTCTTGTGGAACTTACTATATTAAGGAAAAGTTTAGCATGTCTTTTTTGTATATTATTCTAGAAAGAATGTATATTTAGGCAACTAGATTAAGAACCAAACTAGAGTTGATAGCAATTGAATGAACTGCTGTTTTTCTTGAAGAGTAAATAGGATTGGATATAGTGGATTGGATATAGTGTCTACCAAGCAAGATTTAACTCTGCATTGCCTAGTGTGTTTTGAACTGTGGTTTTAAGCCTCCCACTAGCATTGGGTGGAGATTCCTATTGACAACAAAAGGAAATTTCCTCCTAATACAAACTGCAGATATAGAGTAGACAATCTGAATCACAGTGAGGAGGAAAGAGATAATGCCCCTACCATAGACCCAGTTAAGATGAGAAGGGACACATCTTCTATTTAAACAAAACTCACAAAATTACTAATTGTACAAATGTCAATGTCTAGTTTGGCCCTCAGAACAGGGGTAGGGAAGTTGTGGCCCTTCAGATGTTAAATGAGTACAACCCCTACTAGGCCTAGTCACGGCAAAAGGTTAGGGAAAATAAGAGCTGCAGTCCAACTATATCTGGAGGGCCAAAGGTTTCTTATTGTTGTCTTAGTAGATGACACTTAAAATAGGCAACAGGATGGATGGACAACAGTAAGTTATGGTGCTTCCTAGCTTATGGGCTTAAGAACGCTTAGTCATTTTTAATACTGATCTAAGAATGAACCTTTGGTTTGGAACACACAATATTTCATAGAAGAAGATAAAAATCTGATCTCTCATGTGTTTACTTGCATACCTGGATGACTGTGCTATATTCAGTATGGCTAGACTCAAGTGACACATCCCTTGACCAGTCTTCATCCCCTTTAGCTTTCACACTCAATTCTGTTAGTTCACTGTTTTCTAGGACATATGAGGGTAGCTTCTGTTTGGGTCCAAGGCAGTCAAAATGTTCCTTCACAACAGCCTGTCCATCCTGCTCAATGTAATGCTGAACAACTTTCACCTCAATGCTTTCAGAGAGGTAGCTACATACAATCTGTCTTCCACAAATAATGATCTAAATTAGAAAAAAAACACACAGAGAAAAATATTCCACAGAAATCAAATCATGCAGCAAAATCTCAAATGCATAACACATACATTAATATATGTATTTATGTTTTTGAAAGTTCATAAACGGATAAGGAGATAGACTTTGTTTAAGAGGGCAATTATCTCTTCAAATTAACCATTATTTATCAAGCTGGGAATAAGTCTTATGCCACATCTCCACACTGCTTGACCTGACTATTATCTAGCTTTGAGAAAGATACCACAGTTGTTGTTGTTGCTGTTTATTTGTTAAGTCGTGTCCAACTCTTCATGACCCCATGGATCAGAGCATGTCAGGCTCTCCTATCTTCCACTGCCTCCCAGAGTTGGGTCAAATTCATGTTGGTAGCTTTGATGACACTGTCCAGCCATCTTGTTCTCTGTCGTCCCCTTCTCTTGCCTTCACACTTTCCTAACATCAGGGGCTTTTCCAGCGAGTCTTCTCTTCTCATGAGATGGCCAAAGTATTGGAGCCTCAAATTCAGGATCTCTCCTTTCAGTCAGCACTCAGGCTTGATTTCCTTTAGAATGGATAGGTTTGTTCTCCTTGCAGTCCAGGGGACTCTCAAGAGCCTCCTTCAGCACCACAACTCAAAACCATCAATTCTTCGGCGGTCAGCGTTCTTTATGGTCCAGCTTTCACTTCCATACATTGCTACTGTTAACAGCGTCATCTTTTAAGATTTTAAATAGGGCAGTGGAGGTGATGGAATGCCATCACCTCCACTGGCCTTGTTGTTAGTCATGCTTTCTAAGGCCCACTTGACTTCACTCTCCAGGATGTCTGGCTCAAGGTCAGCAACCACACTATCTGGGTTGTCCGGGACATCCAGATCTTTCTTGCAGAATTCCTTTGTGTATTCTTGCCACCTCTTCTTGATGTCTTTTGCTTCTCTGAGGTCCCTACCATTTTTGTCCTTTATTTATTTATTTTATTTATTTACAATATTTTTTAGCCGCACCATTGCCAATGGCTTCTGGGCGGCGTACAACATTAAAACCTAAAAACATTAAAAACATTTTAAGAAACAGTATAAAATACCATATATTAAAATATTTCTTAAAACAATTAAAACATTAAAAGTAATTAATT